TGTGTGTGTGTGTGTCTCTGTCTGTCTGATCGGCGATGTAAAACATGTCAGATAGATGGACAGAGAGATAGACAGAGATAGATATACAGATAGAGAGATAGACAGAGAGATAGATAGATATACAGAGAGATAGATAGAGAGATATACAGATAGAGAGATAGACAGAGATAGATATACAGATAGAGAGATAGACAGAGATAGATATACAGATAGATAGACAGGATGATAGATAGATAGATATACAGAGAGATAGATAGAAAGATAGATAGATAGACAGGATGATAGATAGACAGGACGATAGATCGATAGATGGATATACAGATAGATAGACAGGACGATAGATAGATAGATAGATGGATATACAGATAGATAGACAGGACGATAGATAGACAGATAGATAGATACACAGATAGAAAGATAGATGGATATACAGACAGATAGATGGATTGATCCCAAATTAAGAAATACCTGTGTTAGAGCACCACAGTATCAGGAAAATAATACAAAAAGCAATATGTAAAAATATAAGATAAAAAATACAAATGAATCAATAAAGAATATAAAAACCTAACATAACACACACACTGAAAAATAAAGCTTCAAAAAAAAAAAGTATCTTTATAAAGTCTTATCAAATCAGGGCTCCCCTGTCTTTAAGTTGAAAATGAAGTTCCGGGCTGATTCTTTTGGTTCCTGAGATATCCTGAGTCTGATACAGGTCTGATGTTCCTTCCTCCTTTAGAATCATCTTGAGCTTTGAGACAGGGAGGCCAGTCTTTATTTCCAGCATGTCACAAAGTTTCAGCCCTGGACTGATGGCCTCCATGAATGCTTCAGTGATGTCTCATTCAATGTGACCTCTGCGGAGTTGTCCTTTACTGCACGAGGTTGGTGTACGACAATTCCTGTCCACTCTCACCAATATGGTCACTTCAGGCACTACAAGTTCATTCACAAGAGGGTCGGACATGTGCAGTTTTCCAGTATAGCTGCTTTCAGACATGCACTGAACTCCGGAGACTCTCCCCGTTTTCTCCAGAGGAGGTGTAGGTGCGAACGAAAATGTCCGAGTGAGAGCCTATGGAGTTTCTGCTGACATTTTCTCCTGGCCCCCCTGGTAGAAAGCCTGCAGAGAGTCAGCAGAAGTGGATGTGAGAACACAGCAGGGGATCCCCCGCAAGTGAGTGGGGGTGTTGATGACATTTCTAACACGCGACAGACACAAAAATAAAATAAAAAATCCCAAAGAAAGCAGATCTCTTCCAGTGAAAAAGCAGTATCATTCACGTGTTCACATGCATGTGGTTTCCTGCTTTAGCCTGCTGCCCCCTCACCTGAATCCTTCTCGCTCCTCTTTCCACCCACTTCTCACCCTTCATGCTCTAAATAACCTTAAACCTTAAAGAAACGTTAAATAACCTTAAACTGTTAAAATGGCAGAGTTTTAGCATGAAATGACAGCTGGTTATCCTCAATTCTGTTTGAATATTGTTGAAGTGCACGCTTCCTCCTTGTGTCTGCTGTGTGGGTGTGTGAATGTCTATGGTTATGAGGGCCTTCTGGTTCAATATCATCATTGTGAGGACATTCTGGCTGGTTCTCAAACAAGGACTGTCTGAGTTAAGACTTGGTTTTAGGGTTAGATTCAGGTTAAGATTAGAGGAAAGGATAAGACATGTGTTTTTCATAGTTTTGGTTTAAATGAATGAACAGAGGAAATGCACCATTTCCATTCTAATTTGTTATTTTTGTTTTTTTTATGGGAAAACTGGAGGTTCCGGATATCTGGATATCTGGCCTTCGATTCCACCCTGTTTACCTCCTGAGCCACAGTCGCAGTGTGTGTGTACAGCTATCATTTTAAAGCCCTTAAAGAGTGGGGGCATTTAGGGGAAGTGAGGACCTTCTGACTCACCTCTGATGAGCTGCTTCAGGGTTAAGACTTGCTTTAATAGTTAGGGCTAGAAATAGGTTGAGGTTTGAGTTAGGGTTCGGGTTAGACACTTAGTTTTGATGGTTAAGATTAGGGTAAGGGGAGAGGAAATGCATTATGTCAATGAGTTTCCTCAAAACTCTAAAGAGACAAATGTGTGTGTGTGTCTCAGGCTTATCAGCAGTCAAACACCCAGACAACCTTATTTGCATGACACATTTTATACTGAGGGTAAATGCTGTGAAGTAAATCTGACAAAGCAGCGGGACGAGGCGTCACCTTGTGTAATGTTTACGACGCGGATTATTGACAGTAGGTCTGGCGACACAAGTAACTTAGTGCTGCTAAAGCACACATACAGGAAGAAATGATATCTGTCCTTATCCAGGTTGAATCTGGTCCAAATCTATTATTATCCTGGTGGTTATTCTGCAATCTGCAGGTGAACTGACTGACCCCCGTCCCCTTAAAGAACAGAGAAAAGAGCCAGAGGTTTGTGACAGCTCTCAGAAAAGAATGGATCCATAAGAAACTCTCCCTCCAAAGAGACATGATTCCAATACTACTGTGTCTCTTCAGAATTAAATGTATTTCGACTTAGTAGAGGAGGTTGTCTAAAGTGTATTCATGCTCACTTCTCTGTTTCAAACTGTTTATATTATTATTATTGTACATGTTTATTTGGGGCGCCAGGACAAAACGATCACTAGCAGCCCCGTGTTGCAAAAATTGTGCTTCCGAAATCTCTTGATGTCGATTCCGCAGGAAACGAGACACTCGCCACATCTCCTGTGCCAAACAAAGCAGAAGCCCTTTTTAACGAGGACACTGAACATCGCACTGTCTCTGTGTGGGCAACATGTTCTTCTGTCAGAGGCTCGTCGCCTGCTGCAATGTTTTACATCCACACGTGCTCTGTGCTGCTTCACACAGTCTGAAGTTATATCCACAAATATGATCCCAAATGTGTTCGTGTTAGTTCTTACTGTTGAAAATTGAGAACAACTCTCTGTGCGGCACGGACCACCGAAGAGCATGACGGGTAAAAGGGGCGGGGTCTGCGAATTGCTGCTGCGTTCAGGTCATGTGGGTAAATCGACTGGTACCAGGAAAAGGATCTATTGACCTACTGCAAACATCTCGGAGAATTGTCTGATACATGACGGTTATAAACACTACATTGTGCTAAGTATTTTATAATCTATAAATGAAAGAATCCCTTTTTCTGAAAAAAATTCAACAAGATAATCCTTTTGAGTTCCACTATTTGGATATTTGCAGTGTTACAGATAATAAGTCAGTAATGAGTAATTGAATGGAGAGAAAATTATTGTTGCACAGTTAAATTTGTTGGAACAAATATACTGAGATATATAAGGTCCATATGGTCTATTGAGAGTTTTAGATATAACGTTTTTTTATACGTTTTTTTTACTTCCAGAATCCCACACATATAACTGAGGATATGATTCAGAAACAGGTAACACAAATTATGTGTTCTGTTAGAATGTCATTTCTGAAAGACGTGATAACATCAGCTACACTTTCACGTATATTAAACAGATATAATTTACAGGACATCCACTACATCCAAGTACAGCTCCCAGCTAACTCTGTGTGCTCGACTATTTTATTTCCCTCTGGACCTGATTGTAGAAATATCTCTCCCCCTAGTTATTAAAACACAACTGAACTAATCTAACTTTCTTTGGGTGAAAGGTGGCACTATAGACTCAGCTCAGTCTTAGTAAAAGCATGACCTTTTCTAAATGTGTATCTTGACCACAGTATATAAATTCATAATAACCAATCTAGGTCATGGTGATGCTCCTATCTGTCAGAAGAGGGCGCCAAACCCTGTGAAAAGAAAAACACAATGACTCCAGCCAGGCCAAGCATCACTCATTGGGCACCCATTTATTTTTTTTTACCAATCAATAAAATCATATAAAATAAATAACATTTATTCAATAAAGCTGTGAAATGTGACCATGGGGCTCGGGTATAGTTTTGTTCCAGGTACCATCCTGTGGGACAGAAGCCCGATCAGCGGGTTGGTTTGATCATTCCAGTGGATAATGTAAAATCATTAAAGGGACAGTTCAACATTTTGGGGAAATTGGCGTGTCCGCTGTCTTTCTGTGAGTGAGAGGAGAAGATCAGTATCGATATTAAGGTTTGTTTGTGGGATCCTCTCATCATCTTGCCCTCAGAAAGAACGGGAAAAGGCATATTTCAAGAAAAGTTGAACTGTTCCTTTTTTAGTTTCCAGTAAGAGAGAGGACTGTGAATGTGGACGGAAGATTTGCATTTGTACAAGTACACATGTTTTATACATTTTGAATCATTGTTGGGTATTGAGGCGCCCACTACTGGATGATGAGAAATAAACACATTTCTTCCTGTATAATGAGTCCTTCAAAAAGCAAATTGTTCATGTGTTTCCAGAGTTATCCTTTACATTTAACCAGGCCCCTGTCTTCACTCTGATCAGTGCAGTACTGCAGATATGGGAACCAGGCTGGTTGGAGAACAGTTTGCTGAGTCTCAATGTACAAATGTAAACAATATCATACAATGTAACCCTGTTTACATGAGAGAGCAGAGTGAGGAAGGTAGTTGTAGTATTAAACACAGTCAGACTTGCTGTAACACGGAGATTCTGGACAGATGAGTCCTCGACTTCACCCCGAACATAAGATGGTAACGTCTGATTGTCAAACAAACAGAAAACATGTATCACATATAGTTACACTGTATTTAAACCTGACTATAACATGTGACCAGGGAGAATACAGTGTGAACCTGTACAGATAAAGTAAAATTAAAATAAAGGGATGGTGCAAATATTTTACAATACATTCCTTACTGAATACTAAGCTGCAACCAAAGCATTTATTAACTCAAGAAAAAATGTAGGCTTGATCACATGAATGCAAAGTACGAACAGAACGCATATAATCTCTTGCTGTTTACAGTGTGTTTGTGAACAAGATGCCGGTGAAAGGTGATTAAAGTGTGTGAGGAGAGGTGAGTGCTCAGGCCAAGTGTACTGTAGTCTATTGTCGGCTCATAAACACCAGATTAATGGCGCAGTAAAGAGACTCCAGAGACTTGAGAGCATACGCCATCGTCTGTGTTAAAGGTAGTTATTGCTGTCATGTGCAGTGTTAAATCGTGTGTAGACATGCCTTCATCAGAAATTCCTCTCACTGCTAAGAACAGCAAGCTGACCATCACAGGAATCTGAGATTTTCGAGAATAAAGTCATGTTACAAGAATAAAGTCGTGATCAGCCTGTCGCCTGTGTTAAAATCAGGCATGAGGACCATGTTAAGTTAAACTTTAGTAAAGGTTTCACAAATAATGAAATACCTTTGTCACATCAGCACCGTGTTATCAGAAGTAACCAGACTTTAAAAAGATTGGGCAAGAATCAGTGTCTATTCTGAAGTAAGGAATAATTTTCTAATTACACTATGAGTTTAATATTCCTCATTAAATTGTGACTTTATTCTTTCAATATTACGTGTACTTATTGAGATAACATGACCTCATTGTTGAAAAATCGCTTCCTCGTTACGGCCCTTATACGTCTTCGTTCATTACTTGCTTATCAAAAGAATTTCAGGAACTTAAACAACAGTTTTCCACATGAGATTTGTGTTTATGATGATGTGATGGAGATCAGATTTTCATGATTAAGAACAAGCATTTTGATAACTAGCTTAGCATAGAGACTGGAAGCAGGGGAAACTGCTCCCACAGAAGGTGGAACAATATACATCTTTAAACAGCTCTAAGGTAACGCATCATCTCAGTTGTTTAATATGGACCCGAACAGAATTATAAAAATCTCTATATTTTAGAAATAGTTGCATGTTATAACCCTCTCATTTGATTTTTATTGATGCCATGTGTAGTTATTCGTTCTTTTCAGGCACAATTTTACCACACATGGTGATGTCACTGGCAACAGCCGGCAATTCTAATGGCTGGAGACAGCTAGGCTTGCTGTTTACCCCTATTCTAAGCTAAGCTAGGCTAATGGTTCAAGATTCTTACTTCACACACAGACATGAGGCAACACATCAATTTCTTAGTTACCTCTCAGAGAGAAAGCTAATGAGCGTAATTCTCAAAATGTTGAGCTATTATTTGGAGGCCCTGATGAATGAGCAGTGAAAGATGCAACAACATGTGACACAGGTCTCTTAATAAAAGCCAATCCAGGAGCAATGTTTCTGCATATTTGCTGCATGGCTCAACCCCCCCGGACATTATTAGCTTCTGCAGTTTATCATTAATGTCGGATCCCCAGGTTTGACTAATGTTTCCCAGGCCTTCGACTTGGAGGTGAGACTTGAACCCACAATTCCTGCTCTCTGTCAACTCCGAAACACAACATAAAGGGGAGCAACACATCCATCCACCTAATTAATGAGTCCATCACCACCTCGGACCTGAATGAGCGTAGAATAAAAGAAGTGGTTGTTTGATTAAGCTACAAACAACAGTCGATAAAATCAAAACTCCTTTTTGTTCTTAATCAAACACGTCTTTACAAATACTGACGACACAACAAAAGGTCAGAGAGATCACTCGTTTGATGTTGATGTCTTGCTCCGGTTGATGCTATAATACAAATACCTAAATAGGACCATCTATCCTAATTACAATGACCTATCTTTATGTGTACACCTTAACTAGAAATAATCTCTATTTTTCTTTACAAAACATTACTCAAGTATTCACAGAATGATCCAAATTTGAAGTCAGTTTGGCGTTAGTGCACGTACAGCTTACATGAGCAGGGGGGAGCACATTGATTTCATATGGTGACACTTATTGTTGAGTGCACTGTGTCTGTTCACGATATTAAGTAAATAGCTTTTAGTGACCTTTCGGCTTCCATCTCTACAGACTTCACTATTATTTACAATATTACAGACACATAGGATTGCAGGCAAAGCGTTGCACAAACTTTGACAGGTAGAAACCACACACTAGTGAAGGTGGAGTGATGCCCGGCCGCAGTATCATCAGTATCCTCAGTAGAACATCATCTCCAGTGCTATAAAAAGGAGTACTGACTACACCCTCAGCCCCAAGACCCGATCACCTCTACACGCTTTTCTGTTTTTTGACCTAAAAGGTTCAAAACAGCTTGTCTCGTGCCACAACGTATGAATTTAAAAACACAACTTGTTTATAAGATACACACCAGGATGTTCACTGACCCCCTCTGTTTGAAAAGAATCTCAGGCATCCCACACACAGAGAGGGCACGAAGCACAGGGTGAAGAAGTGATGGATGGTGGTTATCATGGGGTGCTGAGCCCTGATGGACGGCTGTGAGACATGGCGAGCTCTAGGTGGGACGGGACAGTGTTTGGACACAGAGAGATGTCAGTCAGCAGTGGCAGCCCTTCTCAGCGGACGCCGTAGCCAGTTCCTCCTCTTCGGCCGGGTAGAGGACCTTAGCAGTGAGGCCGCTCTTCACACCATCCCATCCGTCGCGGGTGACGATCTCACCCATCTTCATCAGCTCGTAGATGTCTCTGGTCAGCAGCTCAAAGGCCCGGTCCACGTTGCTGTTGCACTTGGCCGAGGTCTCCACGTAGCGGATGCCCAGGTCGGCCGCCAGGTGCTCCGCCTCGTCCCGGGTCACCTTGCGGTCCTTGTTGAGGTCACTCTTGTGGCCGATGAGGATGTAGACCATGTGGTGAGGTAGGATGTGCTCACTCACCTCCTTGTGCCACTCCCTCACATGGTCAAAGGTTTTGCGATTGGTGAGATCGAAAACTAGCAGCCCGCCCACAGAGTTGCGGTAATATGAAGTTGTAATGGACCTGGTGGGTAGAAAGACATGTTATTAAGTGAAAGTAAAATCATCTTTGACAGAAATAGTAATCTTGGCTTTGCCACTTTGAAATGTTGGACAATATTGATGAGCATCCTCCATTACAAGATCCATAACCGTTTTTCTGATTTGTGGCTCAAGTCTGGTTCAAAATGTACCTCAGGAAAGTACAACAACAGTTTCAAGTCGGTCAAGATCAAACTATAAGTCTTTAAGGTGTTATCGCAGATGACAGCAGAACATCATGTTAATATTTCCATTTGTTAAATTCATTTTTATTGTTCCAGGATCATTGGTCTAGGGAGTTGAGTCAAATCCAGAACCAAATGAACCTTCCAGATGTGCTGCATCTTTTCTAATGCCTTTAACCACAAATTGTGCAGCTTTATTTGGTTTTGTCTAGAGCTCCCACAGCTAACAAGTCACCCAATAGAATACTGACTGAATATTAACTGAAAATTTAATGTTTTTTGTCGTTTGTAGGTGTTTCATCATAAACACAGGAGCTGGCTTTGGTTCATATATGGTAGCTTTTAATTGCCCTGGTGGATATAAATAAAAGCTGGTAAATTCCATTAGTGATTTTAATGATAGACCACAAACCAGACTGTAAAGGATCACTGGGTCCCTCAAAAGAGTCTTGGACAATTGGCCACCTGGGACAACAGTATTGGAACACATGGCCACACATGTCTTATTCATCCACTGATTTACTAATCATCAGTTTATTTCATAGACACGTCTCACAGTCAGACCTGTTGAAGCAGAAGTGAAACACTTGAGAGTGGTAAAGCCTTTAGGAAAACACCCTCAGAAGCTCCAGCTTCAAAACAGAATACAGATCTGAGAGCTGAGGCTGCTGTTCCAGAAATGCTTCACAGGAAATTATCCCTGACAGCAGTGCCACATGAAACACAACAAGCAACAGGGCAGATGAATGCAAGAAGAAAAGATAATAGATGAGGATACAGAGCTGTCATCTTTGTGTTGCCCTGGAGACCGTGGTACTGTACCAGGGAATCAAACTGGGGCCTAGATGAGAGGAGGATGCCCATCATCCGTGAATGGATGCAGTGATGCGACTCGATTTTAACAGGGCATCATAAGATCCAGGCCTTTATAATCTTCTGAGCCTTCTCACCACTGTCCACATTACATCACAATGATAAACTGAACGGCTTTATTTCAAATACAGGGCTTCGTCTTTTGAAATACGACAGCAAGCCAAGGCCTCTCCATTATTTATCGAAGGGAGGCTCGTGATCCATATATTTCAAATCGGAATTGTTAAATCAAAGCTTGATTCCTCCCTCGCCACCTCACCACTCGATCCTACCTGAACCGCTCCTGACCAGCCGTGTCCCAGAGCTGCAGCTTTATCTTCACCCCGGGCTCGATGTCCATCGAGCGGGCGTAGAAATCTACCCCGACCGTGGGATCCGCCACATCGCTGTAGATACCGTCCGTGAAGCGCTTCAGCAGCGACGACTTCCCCACGGTGGAGTCCCCGAGCAGGATGATTCTGAACTGGTATTGCCACAAAATATCCATGGCATGACTAGCAGGGACGGAACCGGCGGAGTGTCTCGGTGTGACCTGAACAAAGCCCCGAGCGGTGTGTTTACATGAAGTCCCCGGCTGCTGCTGCTGCGGCTCCCGCTGCTCCTGCTGCTGCCGCCGCCTTCTGCTCAGGGAAGAGACGCGGGGCACGGTGGGTCATGTGACGGGGTTTACCTACGATCCGCCACCGCGAAACCTGCTGCAGCCATGAATCAGGGCGATTGTTTGTCGTTGGGAACAGGGTGAGAGATTAGCTGGATTTGAAGTCATGGGAAATGCAGGTTTGCATTGTTGGACACAGGGAGTTCTTTGTCTGGATGGAGTGGCACGTTCAGTCTGTGGGATATCAACACGATCAAAGCCACATGACACAGATCAGTCCTTGATCACTTTACTGCAGTTTAATGGAAACTACACGAGGAAGAGATGGTGCTGTCCGTGGTTCTGAAGCTTCAAAGCCTCCATTTCCATATACACCCCCCCCCCCACACACACACACTGATGTTTGTATTACTCTCTATGTGCACAATCCATCACTTTCTGTTAAAACACGTGTTGGAGGAAACGTGAGATAACTGTTCTCCGCTGATTTTGAAAGTGTCAACAAAGATAAAAAGGCAACAAGCGTTCGTTCAAAAAAAAGGAAAAGTTGTAGGAATACATATCCCATCATGCAAGACGTCCGCGTGACCTGTGTGAACCAATCAGTGGGCGCTAGCGTGTATAAAAGTTACGGGAGCCTCCCTTCTCTCTCTCTTCCTGTTCTCCTCCAGGCAAAGGATCGGACGAGTCCTAACTATGGTGAGGCCTCAACCAGCGTCTTCTTCTGAAGCAACACTTCCTTCAATACTTTTATTCGTGTTTAATCTCCTGCTTTAAACAATGATGTTAAATGTAGCTGGCTAACCCCGAGGAATGCTAAGAGCGTTAGCGGTTTAGCTAACTGCTAACACGTGTTGTCAGCTGTAAGCAGAGGGCACTAGTTTCTAAATCAAACCACAGATTGAACTTTATTTGTGTTAAATCAAACCAGCTAATGTTAACACGTGTTGGAATTTGCCATGCATGATGTGCCTTGCCTATGCTAAGTGTTAGCATGAGTGATTTTACTGCGTGTGGACCACGTGGCTGGTTTCTGATCGAATCTTACCACACGACGATTCTTCAGAATACAAGTGAAACTTTTATCCCTGCTCTAGATGGGCACTAACTTTACCAATGGAGAACGTTGGCTTATATACTTGAATCGTTTTTAGCAAACGATGCAAGTAAGTGGTCCCCTTCAGTGTGGGCCTCTAAGGTTAAGTCATACATGCAACTAGTTACGCTGAATTTGTCTAGTGCAAAGTTTTCTAAGGAGTGATTTATAACATTCTGACTTGATCAAGCTGCTTAATGTGGATCGATCTGCTCTCTACAGACTCAACCGGAAATGGCTCCAGCAAGTGTCTTCGACCGTGGCTGTCTGCGAACATCACAGGTATTCTTTTTAATACTGATCTGTCGATGTGGCGGGCTCCCATCGAAGCCGTTCATGTTCTCACGTAGCAGTGAACGGTCATCAGGAAGCCTAGATGATGACTTTCACCGACGGTCGCTGTTCAGTTTGAAAATAACTGCTACAGCAACATTAAGGGGAAGGACATTTGTTCTCAACATGTTGGACTAATGATTAACAATCAAAAGTTATAAGTGTTAACACTTACCCCTGTGTCTGCAGGCGCTGCTGAGAGTGAGAAGACGAAACACAGACTGCATCACTTGCTGGTAAGTTATCTGGCCACGTTACATATACCTAGTCTTGGCTGTGATTACAAACTTGCCCTCACTGACTCTGTCTGATTGAGACAATTATTTCCTGAGCCACTCCTGCATAACACATTTCTAGGAGATGGTTGCAGCAGCGTCACATGTTGACAGTATTCTATTCTGCTCTCCTCAGGTGACCATGGCTGACCTCACGAGTGACTGCATGAGGACTGCTCATGTCATGGTAAGTTAAGTGTCTCATTAACTGTGCAGTGTAAATTGCAGCATGCTATAAGGACCTGGGCTTGTCTGTAGTCAAGGTGCTCCAAGTGCATGCAAGAAAATGGGATGGTCTTTGACTGTTATGGCCGTTTTTTTGCCATCAGCAGCCACTCTACTGTCCTACAGATGAAAGTCTCATGATACTAACGGCACATTGTTTCTACAGGAATCATTCTGAATCAGACCTGAAGTCTGCTGTCGTCAGGCTGTGTGGGCTCTCGAACCTTCCTGGTTCTCAAGGTATTAAAAATTCATTATTTTGACTTGTGTTGATCTGATCTATGATGACCACTTAACAATTATGAGGACTGTTGGATGAAGCTTGCGGATATGGGACTGAGATCAGCCCTATATTATTGTATTGAGAGAAGGCTATTGAATTACACTAAATGTATTTTGTTATTACTTTCAGGTACAGTGATGTGTTGGGCTGTACAAAGTGGAGCGTTGGTGCGCTTAACATGTCCGGGTGAACTGCTACAGGCAACCTGTAAAGAGCAACGATTTCAAGTGGTTGAAATACAATTTGAGTCAACCAAGCATGTTGGATGGTTGTCATACCTTCCATGAACCTTAAATGTGGATTTTTTTTTTCTTGTATGCAATAAAAGAAAACAACAAACAATACTTGTCTCCCTTTATTTATTCATACATTATTAGAATAAGCAGTAAATGTTTGTCAGTTCATGTCAGAGTAACTAATTACAATAAGTGTCAGTTCATGTCAGAGTACCTAATTACAATAAGGCCACAGTAGTACAGCTGTATAAGAAAAGTAAAATCTGCCGCTAGATAAAATACATAGGTTTTACGTAAAATAGGCATTTAGAGGCAACATGCTTCAGGCCTGGAATTACCTGATCAAAGATCCCATGAGTTTACAGTTAAGGAACTCTTAATCTCATTTTGTCTGACACCCTACATTAAACTGAGCAGTACTCAAAAATACCAAATGGTGTCTTTACCCAGTTTAAGTTTTTATTGTGGCAATCACCACAAACCAATTAGACATAATCATTCAATTATGTGTCAGACAACATCAACTGAGAAAACTCAGGATGCATTGTGTGTTGCAGACCAGGTCTGTACTTAGTGCTGACCCCTGGTGGTCAGATTACTCAGTGGATGTCAATACCAGATGTAACTTTAACTTCTAGCACTACAGAAAAGGATTGGAGTTATGTCCGTATCACTGCGATGGAAGAGTTCCCCGTGATCTTAATACATCATTCACTTGAAATAGAAGGTAATTTCAGCTCCGATATTTCGCTGTCTGGGCTGCTGCTGCCACTCCGATCGCTGTATGTGTCCCTGTGCCAAAGACAAAATAACAAGCTTAGTTCTTCTTCTTGGGGGGGAGTCCTACACTTAAGTGTATAAGCTGAGATGTTTACCGTGGAGACAGGCGGCAGTTCTTCTGTAGGTAGCTCTGCAGCTTCCCAGCAGCCGCCAGCAACAGACCAAGATAAGGAGGTGATGGCTTTATTGGGCGTGAGGTGAATTCTGGGTGGTACTGTACTCCAGTGAAGTATGGATGATCTGAAAACAGAGGATGACATCTTAAAAACAATGCAACCCGATGGGTGGTTGTTACCCACAATAAAAATAAGTATAATTTTCCATACCATCAAGTTCTATGACCTCCATTCTTTCTCCTTCCACGTCTTGACCTACAAAGCGGAAGCCCTTCTCTTCAAAGTGACTCTTCAGCTCAGGATTGACCTGCACAGTGATAATCCCACATTTAAAATAAATACACCACTTCACGATTGCCTTGTAAACAATGTGTCTAATACTTCTAACAGACTTCCAGGTCAACTTACCTCAAAGCGATGTCTGTGCCTTTCATCCACGTAGTCTGCGTCTCCATAAAGCTTGCCTGGAATACAGAACAGCTCTAATTACAGAGCAGATGCCACAACCCTTCAACTGGCTCAAAGGGAATTTATAGTTTCTTACGCAATATGCTGGAGTTGGTCTTGAAAATGGTCCGTCTCTTGCCTAACCTCATCGTGCCACCCATCTGCCCAGGGTTGTGTTCTGGCATATCGATCACCTGCAACGGTTCAAGTTTGAGTCTTTATGCACGTTTCAGGTCAAATTAAATTTAAGTTATTTCTGAATTTATAAGAAGGAACTCACCACAGGATGCTTTGTGTCGGGGTCAAATTCTGTTGAGTTAGCATCTTAGCGCAAAACAGACAAAGACATGTCATTATGTTATCACTGCTACCAATTCTATGTGTGGTAAAAAGATACACTAAAGTATTGGGGTGGAACTGGGTATTAACTAGGGAATTGAAATCACTGCTGATAAGTAGCTGATGAATAAATCTAATGGCGCTGACAGCGTTGACACTGGCTGTGCAACGGTTCACCAAATTTAGTGATTCGTAATTTCTCCTCAGTATATGACTATGCGACCTGGAGTATTCCTTTACGCTGATATGTGAATGAGTCCCCCAAAAATATGTGCAACCCACACTTAATACTGTGCCTGAATGCATCCTGACACAGAACTGAAGATGGTGCTGCTCCATTTTCACTACGTAGGCAGTGTCGACAGTGTTAAGACTGTGATGTACTGCGATAACAGTTTTATAGGTTTACAGCAATCTTATAATCTTACATTGCGTATCTTCAATATATATCTTACTCAATGCATTGTAGCGCTTAAATGAGGAACAAAAAACAGAGACCTGTTAATACTGAAGCTCTTTGTTTTTGCATACCTTTATTTCTTTAGTTTGTGGAAAAAATTGATTGGTACGCATTAGAATTGTTCATAAAGAAGAGATATGGTTATGTATTGTGTTGCTACTAGGTGTCATTGTGTGCACCCCATTGACCATGAAGAGAGAAAAGAGATGTCTGAGGAGATAAATAACTGACAAGCATTGCCAAGCTACAAGTTGCTATTATTATTTAAAGGCCCCATGAAATAACACGTCTTTTCTCAGTTTCCTGTATCTCTATCTTAATTCTTTAATCTCTTATTTGTCAAATGTAGTATTTTACATTTGAACTCTTCCTATAAATATAAATATAATTCCCTCAATGTTTTACGACTCATCCTGCACTGATTTGCATCCATTGACAATGTTTTAACCTCTAAGATACCCGGCACGAGTGGAACCTACACGGCCTGATTCAACAATTCAATCTGCAGGGGAAGCTGGCGGCTCAGCAGATTAGAACAATAAACAGCCTGAAAATGCTAATGATATGTCTCTTGTCACAATTACAATCATTGTAGTGGAAATGGTTCGCTTTAATTCTCAGATGGTCTGATTTCTGGCCAAACAAATTTTCTTTTG